AGCGTAGAGCTGATGTACTGGCGCGAGTGACCTTCCAGACCTCGATTTCCTATGATGTGATGATATGGTCTCATGGTTATATGCGAGCGGAACACTACCACGATGAGATGGTAGCGGAGGCTAGAGCGAGGGTGAGAGGATGAGCTGGAAAAAGATGCGGACTGAGTATGGAAGAGGAGAGTGAGGCAGTTGGAAGAGTGAGAAAGCGCGTTAAAGAACCACTCTTGAACCAGGAAAAGAAGTTGGGGAACAAGTTAAGGGAGATTTGGTCGTGTCAGGACGAGGGCAAGTTGCATAGGGCTGAACTCGTGACGAGAGAGTTAGAAAATCAATTTAGGGGAGAAAGAGAGATTATCCAGGCGTGGAGATCAGACTTTCTGGAGAGGGTAAAGGCTAGAAGCGTATCACGCGAAGAAACTAGTGAGCGATCTGCAGAGAGCGAGACAACGGAAGACAAAGTAACGCAGGGAAGTAGCGACAGGACATGAGCGGGACTGCACTACACACGGCGGATCGGTACTCATTACATGTGGTAGGGAGACTGGACGGACCATTAGTGTTAGTGATCATAGAACTTCAGCTCCATACCAAACTGTACATAGTTGAGGAGGCAGAGTGTGTCCGCCGCGCGCTGCGTGAGGCTAGGGGAAGAGGACTTTGGATTGGAATAGAAGGAGGACGGAGGATAAAATACGTACTCCAAGTGACACCTTTCGAAGGGCGGTCTCGGATAAGGGCATGGTACGAGACGACCAGAGAGGCTGAGAGGTTGAAGATAAGCGAAGCCAGGAAAGCGGGAGAGTTAGGGAGAGTTGTAACAGATGGTGCAATACTCAGGGTGTTAGCCGCTCATGACCGGTACTGGAAAGAATCGATAAAGACTTTAGAGGCGATAGAGGATGGTGGAGATAAGGAGGACTTTGAGATATTTTATGACATATTGGAGCGGTCGGCGATGAGGTTACAAGTGGTTATAGCACTAACTTACCTCAACTGCTAGACAGATGACCTCGTAGCCGTCTGGTAGATAAGGGAGTGGAAATAGAAATTGGAAGCTCTTGGAAGGATAGTGGAAGCTAGAAAGGTCGATGGGCGACTTTGGATAGCAGTAGGAGGGCTTTTAGCGGGCTAACCGATTCAGGACAGGGCTAGGAGAACTAGCAAGGAGGACGGAGATAGACGCTCGGAGACTCTTGAGGGGTGTTGATCATGAGACATTGGCTAGGTTTGGGATTGCGATCTGTCTCAAGGATAGAGGTCCTGTCACGGGTGTACTGCAGATCCGGAGAGGCACGGCCTTGTTGGCCGATCCCGAAGGAGAGGTTTACTTAGACACAGGGATTCTTGGGATAGAGGGAGAGCACGAGATCCGCGACCGGTACGGGATACTGAAAGTGGTAATCAAGGCGGTCGAGAGCTAAGATTGGAGGCGGACGCGAGCCGTGACAAGGAAAAAGGTTCGGGCTGTCGCAACTGTCACAGGTCCGGGCTGCAGCGACTGTCATAGGGTCGGGCTGTAACAGTTGGCTAGAATACCTAACTGCATCTTTTGGCGGTCCAATGGAACCCGACACGATGGGGCCACAACCGACCACGGGCAAAGGGGAGAGGAGTACAGGACATCGCCCGATCGAGCTCTGAGGGATCTGAAGGAACGAATTAGGCGAGAAGCACCGCTGAGATGGGCTGACCAAACCAATGACGGAGGGCCCGACGTAAGGGG